TTTATTTTTTATGAGAAGTAAAAGGAGGGACTATCAACTGTTTTCAGCTGTAGCTTCAAGTTGATGTTTAAATTGTTTTAAAGTCCTCTGTTGGTAATTAGTAAATAATGCATTATAATACTGGGATGATTCCAGAAGCACCAGCTGAAAACACAAGCTATAGGCTTTCAGTGACTTTGGCTGCTGAAGCAAACAACCTTATTGTGTCAATGCTCTGTCTGTTGGGCTTATCACTGTGATAGCTGGGTCTTATTAGGTTTTAACTTTTAATGACTAGGTGTTTCCACCTTCTTCATGGTCAATAACTTCTTTCTAGACTTTACTATTGATTTTTAGCATGTTATCTATTCAATTTTCTCTAAAAACTTCCTACCCCTCACAGCACTACTGCTTTTACTAAGACTTTAAATTACCCATTGGTGATCCCACTTACTGTACCTGGTTATTTAAAAAAACAGTTGGTTTAACTGGCTTTTATTCAGGGTCACCAGAGAAAAGGGGACTAAGCACAACAAATTTTTATTTTATGTGAAATATATTTCTTTCCATTTCAATGCTTGCTATTAACTTTTGTTGGTAAATCAAATGAAATCCAGAATTTTAACAGTAGAGGTTTTTCTTGTATCATGAGCCTATATGAGATGGTTCAGTGGCTAGGAGTAGTTCAGCAAAGCTTTATATTATGTAAACATACATGATTAACAGAAAAAACTGGCTCACAACTATAAGTTGTTCATAAAGAGGTTTATAAATAACCAAATCTAATTTGAAAGGTGTTTCAGTGTCAGGAACTGTTTCCAGAATTTATTTTTTTTTATGAATAGGGAAAAGGACAAGAAGAAAACTTAAAATAGTTTGTGGTTTCCAGAACTACCGGCCCCCAGCCCTCCTCCTCCAGCTGAGGACGGGCTGCTCATGTCTCTCTGATGAGGTCCGGTTCAGTCAATTTCCCCTTTCTCCGTGCAGCCTGGAACACTGCATTTACGCCCGTGGTCCTGGCTCATTTTCAATAGAGGAATTGCCTGCTTTGTAATTCTTGTAGAAGTAAACCCAACTGTACTGTAGGCTAAACAGCCAAACTGGTTTCTTACATCTGCCTTTATTCATGTTCTTGGGCCAGTGAACCAGTGGGCTGGTCTGTATGTCAATTTCGGGGCGTGACAAAAGTACAGGCCAGAACCAAATAAGGCACCAACCCCAAATTTACATCGTCTCAGTGCTTTGTTTGGATTCGCCTGTTTTATTGAGGAAGTTTAGAATTGTGAGATTTTCAGAGAAAGGAGGCGTTGATGGGGTTTGAACTTCTCTGTACGTCCATTTCACCCATTGAACAATCGTTATTCATCTATGACAATGGAAACTCAGTTTTGCATTCTGTGACCCCTTTAATGTACTTGGTACTTGTATTAAGCCTCATCAATAATATTAGTATTTAACTTTAATGACTGTGGTAATAATCTGAATGTAGAATTAAAGCTGACTGTTGGGTTTTGACTTTTTGTTTTGGTTTTAAAGTTTTCAGAGTGACTTCTCCTTCAAAGAAAAGACCAATTTGGTCAAAAGTGTTTCAGACACAGATGCCAAACTTCTGGTCGTTCTTCCAAAGGGTGTGTATCGGTAAAACGAATGAAACAAATGAATGATCATGTCTGCATTTTTCCCGACTCTTCAAATGTTAAAATTGTTTTCCATATTTTTAGTATCAGAGTTGAAAAAATACTTTGAGAGAGCAATCTCCAAGGATCTGGAAATGAACAGGTATGTGTAATTCATATTTACTTTAGGGGAAGTCCAAGTATGCAAAAATCTAATTTTTTGTACATACTTTGGGTCTTCAACCATGTACTTTGCTTTCAAAGTAATACTTTTTTGCATTGCTTCAACGAATAAAATAAAATAAGTGTCTTTCACCATAAAATTTTAATTTGCTTGGACAGATATTGGCTTGGAAATTAAGGATGGATGGATGGATGGATGGATGGATGGATGGATGGATGGATGGATGGATGGATGGATGGAT